CTTTCATAACACAAAGAAAGAGATAAAGAGACTCAGACAAAATGAGGAGAGAGAAAAACTTATCCCACATAAAAGAACACATAAAAGGCCATTGCCAAAGATCTAAGCAAAAGAGATACAGGTAACATGCCTGCCAGAGAAGTTAAAGTAATGATCTTAGGGATACTCACTGGACTAGAGAAAAGAGTGGAAGACATGAGTGAGACCCTTAACAGAGACAAGGAATAACATAGCAGAGAAAAAGGACACAATACAAGAAATAAGAAACACACCTGATGGAATGAACAGCAGGCGGGAAGAAGCAGAGGAATGAATTAATGACACAGAAGACAGAATAATGGAAAGTAATCAAGCTGAACAAAAGACAGAAAAAAGAATTATATAAAATGAGAACAGACTTAGGGAACTCAGTGACTCCATCGAACATAGTAACATTCATAATATAGGAATCCCAGAAGAAGAAGGACAGAGAGAGAAGGGGGCAGAGAATTTATGTGAAGAGATAATGGCTGAAAACTTTTGTAATCTGGGGAAGGAAAAAGATATCTAGATCCAGATCTAAAATCAACAAAATCAGACTGACACCAAGACATATTGTAACTAAATTAGCAAATTTTACTGATAAAGAAAAAATTTCAAAAGCAGCAAGACAAAAGAAGACAGTAACTTCCAAGGGAAAATCCATAAGGCTAGCATATTATTTTTAGCAGAACCATTCCAAGCCAGAAGGGAGTGTCATGGTATATTCAAAGTACTGAATGGGGAAAATATGCAGCCAAAAAGACTCTATCCAGCAAAACTATCACTTAGAATAGAAGGAGAGAGAAGGAGTTTCCCAGACAAACAAAAACTAAAGTAGTTCATGACCACTAAACCAGCTCTGCAAAAAATATTAAAGGGAACACACTGAGTGGAAGAGAGAGACCAGAAGTGACAGTGTAAAGGTAGGAAACACAAAAGCAGTAAAAATGAGTATTTCTGTAAAAAATCAGTTGAGGAACTCACAAAATAACAGTATATAAAATATAACAGCATATACCTAAAAGTGGGAAAGAAAGGAATAAAGAATGGGTTCAAACTTAAACAACAATCAACTTAACATAGACTGCTACATGCAAAAGAGACTATACACAAACCTAATGGAAACCATACATCATCAGTAAAGAAAAGAAGCAAATCATGAAAGGGAGAAGAAAGGATCAGAGAAAATCTTCAGAAACAACCACAAAACAAATAATAAAATGACAATACATACCTATCAATAATTACTTTGAATGTAAATAGACTAAACACTCCAATCAAAAGACACAGGGTGACAGAATGGGTTAAAAACAAAAAAAAGAAGACCCACTATATGTGGCCTACAAGAAACTCATTTTAGACCTAAAGACACCCACATATTAAAAATGAAGGGATAGAGAAACATCTAATGCAAATGGATGTCAAAAGAAAGCTGGAGTATGGGCGCCTGGGTGGCTCAGTTGGTTAAGCATCTGCCTTCGGCTCAGGTCATGATCCCGGGGTCCTGGGATCGAGTCCCACATCAGGCTCCCTGCTCAGGAGCCTGCTCTCTCTCTGCCTCTGCCTCTCTCTCTGTCTCTCATGAATAAATAAGTAAAATCTTTAAAAAAAAAAAAAGAAAGAAAGAAACATGGAGTAGCAATACTTATCCCAGACAAAACAGACTTCAAAACAAAGACTATAACAAAAGACAAAGGGCACTATGTATCATAATAAAGGGGAAAATCCAACAAGAAGACATAACAATTGTAAATATTTATGTACTCAACATAGGAGCACCCAAATATATTAAACAGTTAATAACAAACATAAAGGAACTAATCGATAATAACACAGTAACAGTAGAGGACTTTAACAACCCACTTATAGTAATGAACAGATCATCTAAACAGAAAACCAACAAGGAAACAATGACTTTGAATGACACACTAGGGGAGATGGATTTAACAGATACAGTCAGAACATTCCATTCTAAAACAGAAGGATACATATTCTTTTCAAGTGCACACTGAACTTTCTCTAGAATAGATCACATGTTAGCCCATGAAACCACTCTCAACAAATTAAAGATGACTGAAGTCTTACCATGCATCTTTTCAGACCATAACACTGCAAACAAGCAACAAAATTAAAAGGCAACCTACAGAATGGGAGTAGATATTTGCAATAATATATCTGATAAAGGGTTAGTATCCAAAATATATAAAGAACTTATAAAACTCAATACCCCAAAAATGAATAATCCAATTAAAAATGGGCAAAAGACATGAACAGACATTTCTCCAAAGAAGATACACAGATGGCCAAGAGATGCATGGAAAGACATTCACATCATCACTTACCATCTGGGAAATGCAAATCAAAACTATAATATCACCTCACATCTGTCAGAATGGCTAAAATCAACAAGAGAAGAAACAACATGTGTTGGTAAGGATGTGGAGAAAAGAGAACCCTCTTGCCCTATAGATGGCATGCAAACTGGTGCAGCTACTTTGGAAAACAGTATGGAGGTTCCTCAAAATGTTATAAAATAGAACTACCCTGTGATCCAGCAATTGCACTACAAGGTATTTAGAAAGAATACAAAATTACAGATTTGAAGGGATACATGCACCCCAATGTTTACAGCAGCATTATAAACAATAACCAAATTACGGAAAGAGTCCAAATGTCCATCGAATGATGAATGGATAAAGAAGATGTGGTATGTGTGTACACACACACACACACACACACACACACACCCACACACACCCCAATGGAACATTAGTCAGCCATCAAAAAGAATGAAATCTTGCCATTTGCAATGATGTGGATGGAACTAGAGGGTATAATGCTAAGTGAAATAAGTCAGTCGGAGAAAGACAAATACCATATGATCTCACTCATATGTAGAATTTAAGAAAGAAAACAGATAAACATATGGGAAGGGGGAAAAGAAAAAAAGGAGAGAGGGAAACAAACCATAAGAGACTCATTTAATATTAGAAAACAGACTGAGAATTGATGGAGAGAGGAAGGTGGGGGATGGGCTATTGGGTGATGGGTATTAAGGAGGGCACCTGTTATGATGAGCACTGGGTGTTGTATGTAAGTGAGGAATCACTGAATTCTACTCCAGAAACCAATACTGCACTATATGTTAACTACCTAAAATTTAAATTAAAAAAAAAAAAAAAGGTTAAAAATAGATCTACCTTATGATCCAGCAATCACACTACTGGTATTTACCCAAAGAATACAAAACACAAATTCAAAAGCATACATGTGCCCCTATGTTCATAGAAGCATTATTTACAATAGCCAAAATATGGAAGCAGCCAAAGTGTCCATCGACTAACGAATAGATAAAGATGTGGTATATATACACAATGGAATACTATTCAGCCGTAAGAAAGAATGAAATCTTGCCATTTACAAGGACATGGATGGAGCTAGAATGCATAATGCTAAGCAAAGCAAGTCAGAGAACAACAAATACTGTATGATTTTACCATATGTGGAATTTAAGAAACAAAAGAACAAAGAAAAGAAGAGAGACAAAGCAAAAAACAGACTCCTAACTCTGGAGAACAAATTGATGGTTACCAGAGGGGAGGGGGGTGATGGGGATTAAGGAGTGCACCTGTTCTGATGAGTACAGGGTAATGTATGGAATTACTGAATCACTATATTGTATATCTGAAACGAATTTTGTACCATATGTTAACTAACTAGAATTAAAATAAAAACAAAACAAAAGAGTATCTCTTCCAGACAGTGTTCCTTGGCCTCCCCATCTGGTTATAGTTCCTCCTCTTCAGAAAAGTTAAGACATTCTATGTGTACCTCTCTCATTACACTTGGTATATGTTTCCCTCCAGATTCTGGTTCTGTAGGAGCAGGATTTATAAGATTCTTTACATCTTAAAACAGCACCTTGAGCACTGCCTTACCCAGAGTACCATAAAACTCTTAAGATCTGAACTGAATTAACTAAATTCAATCTAAATTTTGGACACAGTAAAAGACGTAGGGTTTCTAGAGTATTTATTTTCTTTAAGAAAAAATAATTAAGGATACATAATGATTTGGATGTTCCAGCTCTAAAACATATATTGTTCTTCTTAAGCTAAGGAAGCCGATGCTCCTCTTGAACTCCTCAAATTCCAAGTCAACTCAAAAGCACATTATAGACAGCAATGCCATAATATTTTTTAAAGCATATTCACTAAATTACTCTTAAATATTTGGTTTTGCATTTGGGTATTTCTTTTTTTTAATCTCAATTATTTACAAAACTAAGTATTTTGGCAGATTATTCAACCTAATGAGCTATCATCAGAAGTGCAGATTTAACACAGCAAGAGGTGATGCCTATCAGAACATTTAGCCACTATAGGGCGCCTGGGTGGCTCAGTTGGTTAAGCCACTGCCTTCGGCTCAGGTCATGATCCTGGAGTCCCGGGATCGAGTTCCGCATCGGGCTCCCTGCTCGGCGGGGAGTCTGCTTCTCCCTCTGACCCTACCCCCTCTCATGTGCTCTCTCTCATTCTCTCTCTCTCAAATAAATAAATAAAATCTTTAAAAAAAAAAAAAAAGAACATTTAGCCACTATATTATCTTCTGCTTTAACCTACATGCGGCACAGAAAACAATTTCCCAAAATAAAATACAATGGCATTAAGTTTCAGCTTCATTAACAAGCTTCAACGCATTCCTCTAAAAATTTATTTTTTTTAAATGTTCCTAATTGAGATAGTAAAACAAACCGAGAGAAAAAAGGCTTCCCACTTCCTTTATTACCAAGAAAAGAATGCAGCCCAGCAGACAGAAGAGGTAGAATTTCCAAGGCCTGGAAGCCGGGCAAGTCAAGGCTTTCGCTTCCTCCATCTAGGAGAGAGGGTGTGTGGTGGAGGCCTGACCAACAGTCAGTGAAACTGAGAGTAACAGTGTGACGCCTCCTTACTGAGGACACCCAGCAGAATCTGACCTACCTGCTGTATCCCTCCAGGAGAGATCTTGTAGGACTGCAACTTCTGCTTCAGCAGCTCTGGATCGCTGTGACGGAATGGGCACCCTGACAACAAAAAACAAGCCAGCACACCAACAAGGTTATTCACCTGGGACTTGGTACAATACCACACTCGGGAGACTGTCTAAGCTCCCCTTAATTGTCTAACAGCTTATTAATAAAAAAGTTAATTGCCCATGGGTGGAACTGCTTTCCTCTATTTATCTAAATGTCGACTTAGTTGTATGGTTATCAGGGTACTACAGGCTCAAGAGTTATATAAAATATTACAGCATTCTTGGGCAAAGTTGCCCATTCACTAGGAAGAGGAAACAATTTTAATTATGCTAATTGTTAACAAGCAGAGATCATCACAAAGTAGCTGTGCTTGATCTAAAAACTTTATACAATCTCACATTTTATTCGTATTTTTAAAAATTACATTAAAAGCCTATGAGAAGGAAGATAATGTAAACAAAAAGCAAAATGTACAAACTCTAAGAAATATAAAAATCTCACATCACTTTCAGATGTAAATTTTAAGTCTATTTCCCATAGAGTAAAATCCATATAAATTTAGAGGAATCACAGTTAGGAATGAGACGGACAAACAGAAAAATGTTTCATAGGAAACTAACATAATAGACACATGTTATCTCTGTAACACAATAATAAAGATGGACTACTAAAATATTTACATAAATAAGAACACAGAATTGAAATGTAAAAGCTGTATTACCAGGCCAAAATCTACAAAGGTTTAGATATTTTAATAAGATGTTGCAATGGTAAATCAAATACCTTATTTTAAAATTTAATATAGGAAGCCAGAGTACTTTTTTTAGGTACACAGATGATGGATCTATAAGTTAATTTGAAACAATTGTGCATTTTTCATGAAATCAATGGGTAATTGGTTGTAGCAAAAATAGAAAAGAGCCTAGATGCCAAACAAATGTGTTTACCAAAAATTCTAACTATAAATAAAAACATCCATGATAATAGTATGGACTCCTACAAATAATAAAATTCACAAAATTCATAGCTTATACTTCATTCATATTAAAACTAATAATTTTTAGTATAAAGAAACATTTTGAGAAGCTGTGTAACACCTGGTTAAGAGTTTGGAGCTAAAATGCTGGTGTTTGAATCTCAGTTTACCACTTACTAAGTGGGAGACCACAGGCAAATTTTGTGTCTTGTTGCTGACTCAGCTTCACTTTCTGTCAAGTGAGGGAAATAATCACTCACAGAACTCTTGTGAGAATGGAATATAAAGCTCTTCTATGCTCCTGGCACACAGTAAACAGTCAACATGTATTAGCTATCATGATGCTCAAAAAAAAAAACCATCCTGATAATGAAATTTCAAAAGATCCCAAAAAGAAAGAAATGAGGCTGCACAAGGAATTCTTGGTTAAGCCCAGAATTGTTAAAGAACACAAAAAAGGAGATTAATTGAATTATTCAAATTACATTTGAAATAATGACCGTATCTATATGAAAAAGGCAACAAAGGGCAAAGCCAAGAAGAAAATGAAGATTGCCAAGGTACTAAAGGTCACAAAAAAGTGTTCTAAAGCTACACTGACAATAAGCAGAACAGAAAAAAACCAGATTACTACTTAGGGAAGCTGGTATTATTTTAACAGATGACAGAAAGAAAGCAAAACTCAGTAACTCCTGTTTATTTTGTTTCTATCTTCCACATCAGAGAACGTGATCTTCAAAACTAGAAAGGGTTGAAGTAGGTAACTGAAAACAGTGAATGCATACCCAGTTACGTGTTTGACAAGCCTTCCAACATATGTTTGTGGAAGAAATGGATAAACATAGTCTGGAATATAGTTATACACAGATTCATAACTGGTTGAACAACCATTCCAAGGAGTGCTGGTTAATGAAATAATATCAACACAGGGGACTAAATAGTTTTACAAATAACATAAAACTAAAAGGACAGAGATTTCTGGTTTCCAGTCTGGCACATGAGAGGCTTATACATCATCACTACATCCTAACAAGGAAAAAGCTGAACAAATTGAAAAATCAACAATTCTGCTTAGACTCATCAGAGAAGTAAGATCACAGGGCACACCACTGCCTTCCGCCAAAACTGAAGATAGAGGCAGATACAGAGAATCACCACATACCAGAACAGATATCTCTGGAGGAACCAATGCTGGGGTAGGAAAAACCTAACCTGTAATTGACAAATTTCTGAAGTCTGGACTTCAGAAAGTTGTTCTTCAAAGAGAAGGAAACTTAACTTCTAGGAGCTCTACCAGGTGCTCACGGTGAATAACAGAGAAATTCTCTTGTGCTTCTGGCATGGGGAGGGGAAAAGTAACCATTTTGATTCTCTAGAGCAATCTGTTCTTAAGAAGGCCTGCCCTCAGAACAAACTATTTTACCTGAGCCTAAACTTCTGGGGTTTTATCAGAGCCAACCTACGGGGGGCGGGGGTGGGGGGAGAGGGGGGAGATACAACTCCAGTCTCCCCTAGCCATCTTGTCCTACCTAGGGAAGGGAATAACTGAGAGTCATGTAGAAGTTCATAGCCCAGGGCCACAGGTTCACTAAAAGACTAATCAGGCCTACAGAACACCACCCTCTCCACCTCCCTATTTACCACCATATTACTAAAGGCCTATTTATTGGAATTCTTTCCACCCAATATGTCATGTCTACCTTTTAAGAAAAAATTACAAGGCTTATCAAAAGGTAAAAAATAAAGTCTGAAAATACTGAACAAACATCAAAATTAGAGTCAGATACAGCAGGGATATTGGAATTATCAGACTAAGAATTTAAAATATGATTAATGCTAAGGGCTCTAATGGAAAAAACAGACAATGTATAGTCACAGGTAATGTAAGCAGAAAGATGGAAATCCTGAGAATCAAAAAGATATGCTACCAAAACACTGTAATGGAAATGAAGAATGTCTTTTTTTTTTTTTTTTAAAGATTTTATTTATTTATTTGACAGAGAGAGAGACAGTGAGAGAGGGAACACAAGCAGGGGGAGTGGGAGAGGGAGAAGCAGGCTTCCCGCCGAGCAGGGAGCCCGATGCGGGGCTCGATCCCAGGACCCTGAGATCATGACCTGAGCCGAAGGCAGTCGCTTAACCAACTGAGCCACCCAGGCGCCCCGAAGAATGTCTTTGATGGGCTTATTAGTAGACATGGCTGAGGGAAGAATCTCTAAGCTTGAGGATACGTCAATAGAAATTTCTAAAATTGAAAAACAAAGAGAAAACAACTAAAGAAAATAAGAACAGAATATCCAAGAACTGTGGGACACTATGAAAGGTGGCAGTGAGAATACCAGAAGAGACAAAGGAAGGAACAGAAGCAATATCGAGGCAAGAGTGACAGAGAATTTTCCCCAAATAAATGTCAGGCACCAAACTACAGATCCAGAAGTCCAAAGAACACCAAGCAGTATAAATGCCCCCCAAAATACAGCTTAGATATACCACATTCATACTTCAGAAAACCAAAAATAAAGAAAAAAATCTTAAAAGAAGTCAGATGTAAAAAATGCTTTACTTACAGAGAAGCAAAGATAACAATTCTATCTAACTTATCATCAGAAACCATGCAAGCAAGAGGGTGGAGTGATTGCTTTTGGAGTGAAATATTTAAAGTGTTGAGAGAAAAAAAAAACTACAAAAACCTCCACAGATCTAGAATTCTGTACCCTGTGAAATTATCTTCAAAAGACAAGGAGTAATAGACTTTCTCAGACAAACAAGACATGACATTTGTTGCCAGTGGACCTGTAAGACAAGAAATGTTAAAAGTTGTTCTTCAAAGAGAAGGAAGGTGATATAGGCCAGAAACTCAGATCTACCTAAAGATGAGAACATCAGACGATAAATAAAGGTAATATAAAAACTTCAGAGCAAGGAAATTTATCAAGGATATTACATAATGATAAAGGGATGCATACTCCAAGAAGATGTAACAGTCCTTAATGTGTTTCCATCTAACAACAGAGCACCAAAATACAAGAGGCAAAACTGGTAGAACTGCAAGAAACTGATGTATCCACTATTTGAGACATCAACACCTCTCAATCAGAAATGGACAGACCCAGCAGGCAGTAAATTAGCAACAATAATCGTAGAATTTAAAAGCACCATCAATTAATTTAATATAATTGGTATCTACAAAGCGGCTATATCCAGTAACAGCAGATTATACATTCTTCTCAGTTCAGATGCAACAAACCACTCTGGTGCAGGATGATGTTGATGGTGGGGCAGGCTGTGCAAGCATAAGGGCAGAGAGTATGCGAGAAGACTCTCTGGACCCCCTGCTCCATTTTGCTGTGAACCTAAAAGTGCTCTAAAAAATTAAGTTTATTCATTAAAAAAAGGACAGATTAATGTTTCTAATAAATAATATGAGCTTACTGAGTGCGAAGTATATTGTTTTTTAACTGACAGGGTTTAAATTAAAAAATAAACAGAATGGACTGGAATAAATAAGATTCAATTTCATAAGGAATAATATAAAATCCTGCACTTAAGCTAATAAAAATCAACTAAGTAAGTGAGGAGTCCTAGGATCTGGACATTGATAGCGGAATCCCTGGGAGTTTTACTAGGCCAAACTAAATGTGAGTTAACTGCTTGTGGTGTGGCTGCTAAGAAAAGTAATAGATTTTCTCAACAGAAGTATCTGGTCAATGGTTTTCAGAGTTTAGAAGACAAAAATTATCCAGGGCGCTTGCAAATAAATCTGATTTCATAAGTCTGAGGGTGGAGCTTGATAATCTGCATTTCTAGAAGGTACCTTCAGTAAGTGACAAAAGTGATGGGAAGAACTCACTGTGTATACTAGTACTCGCCACCTTTCATCTATTAAATATGAAAGAAAAGGCATTTTTTTAGTGCTCTGGACACGTGAAGCATCTTCCTTAAAATTCTGTTTGTGATTCTTTGATCTTAATCCCTAACAGCCTTAAAGTATATAATCTTTTAAAAACGAATTCCATTCAAGATGCTAAAACAACAATTAACATTCTCATACACGTAAAAAAAAAAAAAAGCCAAAACAAAAAAAAGTTTCATCACATACTGCAATAAGCTTTAGTAATCTAAAAGATTTACTAATATGGACTATTAAAATCATTCTCTGACATACTAGACAAATGAGGAGCTTGTCAAGGTATGATCAGAGAATTATTTTAGAAAAAAGCCACTGAACTCAGAAATCCACAAAAAACAGTTTAGACTTTTTTTTTTTTTTAACCTACAATAACTGAGGCGAATTGATACCACAACTTGCTAAATTCCTCACTTAATCTTCGTTAATCAGATTCTAACAGTGATGAAAATAAAACACACCTTTCTTCGGTAATCTTTTGAAAATTAATGAATCAACTATCCTAAAATTCAAGGTACTCAATTTCAAAAACCTTTGAAGAACCTGTATCAGTCTCCTAATCATGAGAGAAACAGAAAACAGCAGGTGAAGGGGGGAAACAGAACTGAAGAGCCTGGTCCAGCACCATCCGAAGCATAGCTGAATAAATTCTCTCGCTGACCTAGTTCAGTGTAAAACAAATCACTAGAAGAGTAAAGGAGCGCTAGCTTGACACCGATGACTGACATAAGCTACAGGTGATGCGGTGATGCAAAAAGCCATCACGCTGTCTCACTGTTTCCCACAAAGCTCAGGGGTTTCTACACTTCACAAACATATATCCAGTGGAAGCACTTACCATGATAATCCCCATGGCTTGGTGGATTGGTTAGGATAATCTTCATGCAACTGAAAGGCGTATAGTCTGTCCTCTTGCCTTCCTTTCCGAAGCTATGACGGATATTGTAAGAGTAGCCTTTATCAAACTGATTAGAGGAAAAAGAGACAAAGTAAGCCAATACCGTACAATATCGTGTCAGCAGTGCCAGCTAGAATCAGAGTACAAAATGGTATTTTCTAGAATAAATTCAGCATTCATTGGCAGATGTACATATCATATACATCATTTGAGTCCTTCGTGTATAAATAAATTTTTTTAAAAGTGCAAAACTTATGGGAAACAAATTTCTCAGGTAGAGACAAAGAATGTTTATATATGTTTAGAGATGAGGATAATCCTTTCCTAAGAACAATCAATTCACCCATTTCTTGGTTTGATTCCAGATATTGCGCTGGATATAAGCAGTTTAGTCTCTTCTCTACCCCCTGATCCTAGTACTCCCTGAATTCATCTATCCTACCTACTCTACTCCTGAAATGCCTCCTAACATAATTAATTCCTTCCTCTGTTTCCTCACTATATAAAGCAAAAAGTAAGCAGATGTTTGATGAATGAACTATTGCAATTGTCTCCCACCTGAAATTCCTGATTCCATGTTTATAAAGCCAGCTAACAGTATAAAAAGGACTTTGAATTGGGTGGGACAGAAAGAAAACAGAACTAACAACTATTGAAAAGCTCAGAATAGTGGGACTTAGCTGTCCAATACTTTAAGGAAAGTAAGAAAGAGAACCCAGATTAAGAGATAGGAAAATACTGTATTATTTTGGGGGTGAGATTTTTAAATTTGAGGGTATAACTCACATATAATGAAATGCACAGATCTCAAGTCTACAGTTTTATTGATTTTGACAAGTCATTGTACCTATATAACCCATAACCCCATTAAGAGACAGAACATTTCCATCAACCCAGAGTTCTCTGTGCCCCTTCTCAGTCAACATTCTTCCCCTCCCTACATACTCAGAAGCAATTACTGATGTGATTTTCGTCACCAGAGTTTTAACCATTCTACAACTTTATATAAATGGAATCATACAGTATACAGTGTTTCGTATCTCACTTCCTTCATGATTTTTTAGGTTTTTGAGATTTATGCATGCTATTCATTACACATATTGTCAGCAATCCCTTTTGTTGAACTACAGACCCCAAGAGTTAAAACTAGAAATAGACAAGACCATTTAATTCATGCTCTAACTAAAACCCCATTGTACTTATTTCTTATCACACTTCCTTGAAGGCGTTGACAAAGATGTTTTGCAATGACTGGAACATTCCAACCACCTGGCCAGAAAAGCCAAGAGCAACAGAATGCCTAGAAGACCAACCCCACAAGTCCCCTTCCCTGCCCGTGATCAGGTGCTGAACACATACTGACCCCCACCCCTGATCTCATGCTCTCTGCCTGCTTTCTTGCTCCTACCTCCTTGAACCTTTATAAAACTTTATGCATCCATCTCACCAAGAAAATTATTAAGGTTATTAAGACTTGAGCCTGCCACCACCCTGGCTGCTGGCACCCAAAATAAACCCCTCCCCTTCTCTTTTCCAAAACTTTGTCTCTTGAGTTATTGGCTTCTCTCGCAATGAGTTTATCCAGGTTTGTTCGGCAACAGTGTTGGAAACGCAGCCTGGAACTATGCTTTCCATTTGTCGAGCCCTCTCAGTATTCCCCAGGATGGGGCAGTTGGCCATGGCAGCACACCAGGGCTTACCTGTTCACATCCTGAGTTAGGAGCTATGCTGGATTGACTGGTAACATTATCAGCAGTTTCTTCCTTTTACTGCCGAGTAGTGTTTCACTGCATGAGTATACCAGATAGTTGATCTAGTCCTCTCTTGATGGATACCTGGGCCTTCCAGGTTTTGGCTATTACAAATAAAGCTGCCATGAACATTCTTGTAGATGACTTTTGTGGGCATATGTTTTCATTTCTCTCGAATAAACATATAGGAGTAGAATTGCTGCCAACAGTTTTCCAGAGTGGCCATACTATTTTATACCCCACTAGCAATGCAAGAGAGTTCCATACTCTCCTGAAAGTTTGGTGCTGTCTCAATTTTGTTCATTTTAGCCATTCTAATGGGTAGGTAGTGATATCTCACTTTACATTTCCCTGAGACTAACACTAGTGAGCACTTTTTCACATACTTTCTTGGCTGGTGATACGCCTTATTTTGTAAAGTGTCTGTTCAAATCTTTCTCCCATTTAAAAAAACGGATTGTCTTCTTTGTAGGAATTCTTGGTATGTTCTCAACACAGCCCTGCTGTCAGATACAGGTGTTACAAATATTTTCTCACAGCCTGTGGCTTTTCTATGTATTTTCTTGATGTTATCTTCTGATAGGATGAGCAAATGTTTTTATTCTCATGAACCCTAATTTATCAACTTTTTTGATGGTAATGCTCTCACTGTCCTAAGATAGCTTGCAAATATATTCTCCTATACTGTCCTTTAGAAGCAGTAATGTTTAAGCTTTAAAGTCAGGTCCTGATTCATCTCAAGTTAATTTTTTTGTGTGTAGTGTGAAGTAGGAGTCCAGGCTGTTTTTCTATCCCCTGTAGGGGAGGGAGGATCTTTTTTCTTTTATCTTCCTAGGTTCATGGGCTGGGGCCCACGAATCAAAAGGATAAAAGACATTCACAAGAAAAAAAAACCAGTTTAATTACGTATGTACATAAGCACACTCCTAGCAGTCTTACAAAGAAATAGGACTTGAGGTAGCCCAAGGACTGAGGTTTACATACCATTTTAGGCTAAACAAAGGAAAAGGGATTCTGGGTGGGAGAGGCAAATTATGAGAAGGTGAGGGGAGAAAACGTATGGTAAATAAAGGCTGTATTGTTCTGCAGATGAATCTTTTGGGTGATAAGAGTTGTCTAGAGTAGCTCTCTTTCTGGTACAGACATCTTTACAAATGTAAATTTCCCTTAAGAGGGGAAATTTATACTTTATTTTTAGGTGGTTAGGAGGAGGTAAAGTGTTCTTGAATCTGCTGGTTCTCAATTGCCTTTAGCTCAAAATAATCCTTACATCAAAGTGGCATATTTTGGGGTGGCAGATTCTGGTACCCTTCAACACCATTTGTTGAAGATACTTTCCTTACTAAATTGCTTTGAACAGAAACAGACTCATAAATACAGAGAAACAACTAGTGGATGCCAGAGGAAAGGGAGGTGAGGGCATAGGTGAAATAGGTGAAGGAGATGAAGAGGTACATATTTCCAGTTATAAAATAAATTAAGGCACGGGGATCAAAAATACAGCATAGGGAATACAGTCAATAATACTGTAATAACACTGTATGGTAACAGACTACATTTATCATGGTGAGCATTTCATAATGTATACAATTGTTGAGTAACTATGTTGTATACAGTAAACTAATGTAACATTGTATGTCAACTATACTTCAATTAAAAATAAAAATAAATAAATTGCTTTGGTACCCTTTTCAAATTTGACCATAAATGTGTGGGTCTATTGTTGGACACTGTATTATTCCACTGATCTGTACGTTTATCTTTTTGCCAGTGCACATTGTCTTAATCAGGAAATCTTTAGAGTTAAGTCTCAAATTCAGATAATCTAAGTCCCCTGGCTTTGTTCTTTTTCAATATTATTTTGGCTATTCTTTGTCCTTGCATTTCCATATAAATTTTAGAATCTGCTTATCAATTTCTATTTTAAAGACGACCTGCTGGAGTTTTCAGCAATCAGTAGCTTATGGCTTCCTAACTACCTATCTATCTGCTCACAAGCACACAACCAGGAAAACAAATGGCATTCCAACTAAAAGAAAACTTTCAAAATAAGTAACTTTTATTGGTGAAAACAAGAATGTTCAAAGTACCAGTTAAACATCTCTTATGAATACCTTCTGCTTGTTTCATTAATCCTAAACATTAACTATAATCAATCTCTGTGAAAACTTTTAGGTATGAAGTGAATTTAGTTAGATACAAGATTTCTGTATGTTCATCAGAAGACTCTGGGTCAGCTATTCTGTAGAAGTAAGAGAAAACTACTCTCTCTACAGGGAAAAAAGCTAACATTGGTTTATTTCACCGCCCTCTTCTTTCCAATTTATTTACTGCCTGCATGTATGTATGTTTAAAATGTGGCCCTTACTATAACCCTGCTTTTTAGACTCTTCGTGTATTTATTACACAAACTGCCGTCTCTAGTTTTCAACCTAGAAAACTCGAAATATCGTACAGAAGGCACCCTGATTGGGAGATGTTTTGTTACTGAAGTTATCTATCAAGCCGCTAACTCAGGAAATAAATGGAGAAGCTCAGGAAATAAATGGAGAAGCCCTGGGGCACTGCTGCAGCCCACTGCTCCAGCCCACTGCTCCATCCCAGGCAATCTCCAGGGGTCTGGGCAAATCAAAAGCAGAGCTGCTGGGCTCGGTCTGCCACCACTGTTGTGGAACAAACTCCAAATAAACTTGTCGCAAGAGAAGCCAGTAACTCAAGAGATGAGGATTTGGAAAAGAGAAAGGGAGAGATTTATTTCGGGTGCTGGCAGCTGGGGGAGGTGGCCGGCTCAAGCCTGAACAACCAACCTCTCCACTTGGTAAGATGGATACCTCAAGTTTTCTAAAGAGAGATTCGGGGGGTACGTGCAAGAGAGCAGGCAGAGAGAGCATATGATCTCAGGTGGGGGTCGGTACGTGTTCAGCAACTGATCACAGGCAGGGAAGGGGACAAGTGGGGTATGGTCTTCTAGGCATTCTGGTGCTATCAGCGCCTTTCTGGTCTGGTACTTAGAATGTTCCAGTCACTGTCAATGCCTCAAGGAAGGGCAATAAGAAATAACTGTTGGGATCTATAGTTCCACAAGAAGGCTCGCTGACATTTTCTTAGAGAATACTTTCTAGGTGTCCACATCTACAATTCAAAGGACTATCTCTACGTATTCAAACTAAACCACAAAGAGGTAGGGAGAACCAAGAAAAGAACACACTTTCTTGGGTTCCATCCCATTCTGTCCAGTGATGGCAAATCCCAGAAAATCGACACTGGTCTTACGGTGGGTGAGCTGCAGTTTTCAACCTTCCAAATTAGTCCTGAC